GTGTGTGTGTGTGTGTGTGTGTGTGTGTGTGTGTGTGTGTGTGTGTGTGTGTGTGTGTGTGTGTGTGCACATGTGTGTGTGTGTGTGTGTGGTCGTTTGTGCTTAGACTGTATACTAATTTTGTCCATTTTGTCAAAGGTTCGGGTCCCCATTTCCCGTTTCCTGGGAAGGTACAGGGAGTCGTAGGTTGCTCTCATAGGTCTACTCCGAGAGTAGAAGAACCGGGCAGGAAACTAGTTTCGGGTTTTGAGCATCGTGTTTTTGACTGGGTTGCTGATTCAGATTGGCACGTTGTGACAGCTGTGGGGTTACTGCTGCCACGACAGCCATGGCCATGTAAATTACAAAGGTGGGGAGGAGGAAGAAGAAGACTCCAAACAAGTGTTTTTGTTGTTGTTCGGGGTTGTTGTAAAAGCGGTTGTGATTCTTCGAAAAAGTACTCCGGATTGATTGGAGGAGGACGGGGGATTGGAGAAGTGAAATTTGTTTTTATATTCTCTGTGTATTTTGAGCTTCCGCTGTGCACATCTCCTTTCCGGTTGTGTGTGTGTGTGTGTGTGTGTATGTGTGTGTGTGTGTGTGTGTGTGTGTGTGTATGTGTGTGTGTGTGTCCCTACGCTGTATTTGTGTGAGAGTGTGTGGATGTGAACGTATTTGCGTGCTAAGATTCGATCCAAGACCCCACACCTGACTGTGCGTTTTGCCCCTTCATTGAGCATGCCGAGATTTGAACCTGCACCCTTACGAGGGATTGTTCTACAGACATTACACGTTTTGTGCCTGGAACCGAAGTACATTCATGAATTCCCAACTAGAGTAATCGACATGAAGGTGATAAAACTGCAACCTAACCACTCAAAATCGTCAAGCATCCAATGTAGGTAGGTAGAGAGGACATGCAAGAGTTCACACTAAGTGTAGATTAGAGAAAGCATGAAACTAAAACATTCTAACTACTCATATGGATGAGGTGTTATTGGATGTGACATCACACAACAGTTTTGCACCATTTTCACAGCTCGAACCACACATGAGGTGACGAGGTCTCGAACCACATCGTTCACAATAGATACCATTGTCGGTCTCTCTCTCTCTCTCTCTCTCTCTCTCTCTCTCTCTCTCTCTCTCTCTCTCTCTCTCTCTCTATGTGACCATCCAGGAAACATAAACCACTGTTTGTCAACCTGGTCGTGGGTCATGACTATCAGCGGGAGCATGTGGATCAGCTATGAAGTGGACATTGGGAACGTTCGGCGGATTCGGCCATCGCATACGCATGGCTTCCTCAAACTCATCGGGCAATTTTTAACGATAAGTGTAGCCACATAGGTTAGCAAGTCGGTGGTACTCACGATGTCGATTGGATTTTGCGTCATGTCGTTCATTCTCAATAAGGATCTGCAAGAATTCATCAATGCGTCCCTCTTGACCAACGAACTGCACCGCCTTTTCGACTTTTTGCGCGRCAATAGGCCACCTCGCACGTATTTCCTCCGTCGTCAATCTCGGTTCCTCGCGCCGCAAATCTCGCCCCCTCACACGCTGTCGACCCACACCGCCATCCGCCCGTCCTCTCCCTCTTTGCCCGCCATGATTCACCCATATGTCATCCATTCCTTCAATTTGTTCCCTGAAGTCGTGAGGCTTCACCCTCACAATTATGTAAGATAGCACTGCATGCGAGTGGCAGCAACACGTCAATGGTGGGAGAAGCAGACAACCACAAACATAGGAAACCGGCTCTGTAACAATACAGTGCCACATTCTATATAGAACATGGTGAGTACATGGTGCTTTATAGCATTACAAAAATTAAAAATGAGAGAAAAATATATTGCAAACATCAACATGAAGCTCTCTCTCTCTCTCTCTCTCTCTCTCTCTCTCTCTCTCTCTCTCTCTCTCTCTCTCTCTCTCTCTCTCTCTCTCTCTACCTATCTATCTATCTA